CTATAAAAGAGAATCACAATGCTGAAAAAGCATTTTCAGAAACAACGTTTGGATTTGAAATCAAAATAATGGATACATGTTGTGTTTGTGGTAAACAGCCGCGGATCAGGAGCGGACTGCAAACGCGTCCTGTGTGAAAGCATAATGAGTCCGTGCTGCTTCTGCACCACATACACATACTGTATACGCACTGCAGGCGGAGTACGTGTGAACTTGGCAAAACAAATCTAGTTCAACATCTGAGGCAATGCCACAAAGAGCTCTATGACCAATGCATGGCAACAAAAAATCCCTGGACACGGGATTTTTTTTTTCTGCCATATGTCTATTATAGAGACATTTTGTTACACCTTTACTTAGTGATTATTTTGCCTTATGTCTGTTCTAGAGACATGTTACAGCTTCTTGATAAAGCTCTAATTAAAATCGAAGTCGCAAAATTGATCAAAGAAATCGTGATAGGTTTTTTTTGTCCATATCGCACAGCCCTAGTTGATAGACAGTTGATATTTGCATTGATCTGACCATAAACTGCAAGAAAGGCTTACTGGAAATACAAATTCATTCTCTGCCACGAGGTGGCGCTTTAGGAGCGCTGAAATACTGCAGTTTCCCCGGTAACGGCTGTACACAAAGCAGCTCCGCGCTCATAAAATTAAAATGCCAATGACACATTTGTGAGGACAGTCGGTTCCCTTCAGATACATTCAAATAAAGACATCCGCGCCGCGTTTTGACTTGAAACGTGCAGCGCTCATATTTAGTCAATGACATCATTGCCTTTTGAAGTTTAATCCAGCCGTATCGCGACTCTTGTCTTTCCGTCCCCAACTGTAAGACCTCTTGAAATTATAATTAAGACATTTCTTATACCATTTAACATATTTAAAACTTTTTATGGCCTTCAGTTTGATACAACTCACTTTAGGAGTTTTTAAGGAGATCTCCATTTCAGATGATTTGGTGAAACATTTTGGTAGCCCGACTGGAAAACACAATAGCCCCGGGACGTTGGGCTAGCGATTTTGTGAGCCCTGCAAAGCAAAAACAGGCAATATAGTGTCTAAAACGTAAGTCTCTTTAAGATTAACTTCTTGTTTACTGATTTGCATAAAATCAGTATCACATTTGTAATCATGCTGATTTTAGAGGAGAAAACTGGCACTCTTCGTGTGATATTGACTAGCTTTCTTTCTGTGGTATTTTTATGCATAATGGCGCTTAGTCTTTCACAAAACATAGCTAACGTAGGGACATCATAACTAGCCACCATATTGATTTACGGTCTTAAATATGTCCTTGCCTCAATAATTTTTTGTATTCGAGTTACTCGAGGTATTCAAGGAATCGTTTCAGCCCTTATAATGTACATCGAAATATCGGAAATGTTTAAAAATCATATCACCTTAAAAAAAAAAATCACGATACATATTGATATTGAATTATTGTCCAGCCCTACGTGCAGCAAGTGTATGTTAGCTTATGTCCCGCCGGTTCATATGCACGCATAATATGCACTCCCTAACATTTTCGTCTCATTTTTTTATTCGTTGACGAAAATTTGTCAATAGATTTACACGTCATAGTTTTTGTAATTCAAAAAGAGTTTTAGTTCGCTATCGTCTCGTTGTCGGGGAAAAAAATGTTGTTGACGAAAATTATTCGTCAACAAAATTAACACTGGTTTTCCTCATAGTTTCATTTGGTGGTTTGTGGGCAGGAATGTGTTACCATCCTGGAGTAATGACAGTAAAAGAAAATAAAAAATAATTTTTTTTTAAGACATAGGGTTGGGTATCGTAAGAAATTTTCCGATTCCGGTTCCATTTAAATGAACTATAATTTTTTTTTCTTCACTATTGTACAATGTAGTGTTGCTGTAAGGTAGTAAGTAATGTTGAGTAATGCTAGTCCATCAATCACATGTGCTTCAATGTTTGTTTTTTGCACTGTCAATAACATTTTGCTTTTGAAGCAGGAATAAGCTGGTTGGCCATCAGAGCATGTGAGCGGAGCGGAGCGGGGAGCGGAGTGGTAATATTTCCTTAAGAGCGCAGAGCGCCTTTCTGAAGATTCCGCTCCGCTCGCTCAAAACGCTCAGCGCCGCTCGCTCAACCCAGAATGCCGTTTGTGGAGTAATGACAGTAAAAGAAATAAAAAATTATTTTTTTTTTAAGACATAGGGTTGGGTATCGTAAGAAATTTTCCGATTCCGGTTCCATTTAAATGAACTATAATTTTTTTTCTTCACTATTGTACAATGTAGTGTTGCTGTAAGGTAGTAAGTAATGTTGAGTAATGCTAGTCCATCAATCACATGTGCTTCAATGTTTGTTTTTTGCACTGTCAATAACATTTTGCTTTTGAAGCAGGAATAAGCTGGTTGGCCATCAGAGCATGTGAGCGGAGCGGAGCGGGGAGCGGAGTGGTAATATTTCCTTAAGAGCGCAGAGCGCCTTTCTGAAGATTCCGCTCCGCTCGCTCAAAACGCTCAGCGCCGCTCGCTCAACCCAGAATGCCGTTTGGTGATTTGCTTGTTCGAGATCGAGAATAGTAGAGCAGTTATGGAGTTCAGATATTGTTTCAACGAAGTTGCAAGCCTTATACATGATAATTGCTATTTATCAGCATGCTTAATTTTAGACAATAATCCAAGAATTTCGTTACAAACAGTAAACTATTAGGCCTACCAGAGAAATTTTATGTCGGAGCGGGATCTGAGCGGGAACTGGTTCACGGTGAGCGTGAGCGGAATATTAACGGAGCGCTTGCTCGGGCAGTTAGAGCGACTGAGCGGAGCGCACGTCCATAGAGCGGAAAACGTAGCGGAGCGTCACACCGCTCCGCTTCGCTCACATGCTCTGTTGGCCATATAGTCCCTTGAGGGCCAAGCACTTGTTAATTTCCCTAAATTAATGAAATATTAACTTTTATACTTATAACCATGTATACACACACGCCATAAAGCCCCTATTTTACAAATAATAATGCAGTCAGGAGATGGTGTGATGAAATGAGTGGTTTCCACATTTTTAAACATTTAAAATGCATGAAAATAAATATTTTCCATCATTTTGTTTATCACTCTTGAAATGACCTGTACACTAAATAATCTAACCCTCATACTTGCATAACAATAGCAGTCTATTTATTTAGTGGTCCAAGTTGAAGTCATTATGTATATTAATGACATATGGGACAAATATAATGTAATTTATTGGCGGCAGGAGCTGCGCGCTGCCAGTACGTGTACAGTCAGACAAAACAACGTGCACAGTTATCAAAGACGCGATGCGTGTACAGTCGTGGATAACAATGTGTTCGGCAGTTAAAGACGCGGCGCGTCTGGGGAGTGCGCGTCATGGGAAACGATGTGCTCCGTAATTAAAGAGGAAGGGTGATGTTTCTGTTATTTGGTTTGTGACATCCTTTATGGGAAACGCCGGTGCAAGGCTGCTCACAGCACTTGGTCACGCGTCGTACCAGAACTGTTTTCGGAATCGAAACTTATAAATTGCTCACGATTCCGGTTCTTTTCAAAAAATGGAACCAGTTCTCGGTTCCCAACCCTATTAAAACAAGAGAAAAGCAGAAAAGCACGCAAATAATTTTATTGTTACTAGAGCAAAAATGTTTTTAATGAAATGACCGTTGCATGTGAGAAACAATGACGTTTCTGAAATCCATGACAAATCTGAATCCAACTGAATGAATTAGGGGTGCAACGGTTCAACTTACTCACGGTTCGGTTTGTATCACGGTTTCGGTACGGTTTGGTATGTGCTATGTTTAGGGGGAAAACTATATTGTCAAATGAAAATAAGAACAAATAATCTTAACTTCAAGCAACAGCACAAATAAATGCAATAGAGCAAAGATACAAATAAAATAAACAGTGATTTTCAGTTTTTTTTTTTTTTTAGGTAGGTCTAACAGTTTTTAGGTACAGAAAATGAATAAAGTAATCAAATGTAAAACTACATTGCATATTTGACTGTATAAATTAAAAATGATTCCTTATTAAAGTTACAAAAGTTATTCAATCAAGAGCAGTGAGTGATTTCCGTGTTGTTGCTGTTTAATTAACTTTAAGAAAGTGCTGTCACTTTAAGCGAATGCACTGATCCAGTGCACTGATACTGTTTGTTCAGCCAACTGTGTCTGCTAGGATACTCACCAAGACGTGCATTTTGACATAATTTTTGTGTGAATTTGTCCCTTCAAGCACAATACTTCAAAGAGAGCTTAATATTTGCACTCGTTCTGAGACGCGGGTTCACGCGCTTCGGATGAGCTCACACACAGATCTTCTCACTGCGCGCGAGTTTGTGTCTTCTGGCTCTTTAATATTTAAACTGGCAAGGCTTAAATGAGTTTAGTTTAAACACCGATAGCAACGTGTGCTGTTCAGGTCTCACCTGCGCTATGAACACGTGATGACGGCATAAATGATTTGGTTTGTCCATGTATTGTTTTTTTTCTCTCATCGCTCTTGTTGTAATGTATTGGGAAGCCAGAATTTTTATCCATCAACAGAAACATGCATTAGCCGAACTCTAACAAACCATATTACAGATGCATTGTCAGATTTAAGTTGAAACGCGGTCCTATGCCGAACCGTACGGTTCGAGTTTTTACCGAGAACCGTTGCACCCCTAGAATGAATGACGTTTTACAGGCATTGAATTGTGAATCAAATTTCAGTCTGTTTCTTATGCTTATCGCCCTTGCACCTTGTGTTCCCATTTTGGATATTTTCTGTGAAATTGCCTTGTAGAGTAATGAAACTAGATGATCATTTGTCCATCAGTATAATTGATGGCAACAGCTGTTGAGATAGATATTGGTTTGTAAAAATTGTTTGTAAAAACTCTTAACAACTAGTCAGCTGTGTTCACCAGCTAATTAATTTAGGATCTTCTGTAGTCTATAATCTATTAGGTCCACAAGCGTCTGGGCTGCTGCAGTGTTTGATTGTGGTTGTCATTGTGTTTGTGCAGGGATACAGCGGGGCAGGAACGGTTTCACACCATCACTACCTCTTACTACAGAGGGGCCATGGGAATCATGCTCGTATATGACATCACCAACGCCAAGAGCTTCGAAAACATCAGCAAATGGCTCAGAAATATTGATGAGGTCAGTCTTCACACAACCTTACTGCACCCCTCAGACAACATCAGAATAGACACAGTTATTCAGGGAATGGTGTTTTAAAGGGAAGTTCACTCAAAAATTAAAATTCTGTCATAATTTGCTCACCAAGTTTTCCCAAACCTGTGTGAATTTCCTTCGTCCGTTGATCATAAAACAAGAAAATACTATGGAAGTCAATGGGGAACAGAAACTGTTTGGTTGCCAACATAGTTCAAAATAACATCTTGTGTTCAACAGAAGAAAGAAATTCATACAGGTTTGGGAATGATGACAGTTTTTAGGATTTGAATGGAAAATGTTGTGATTGTAGCGTAGAGTTGTTCTTATTTAGTTCTACCCTAAAACCTAGAGTTTACATACAATTGACATACACAATAGTAAACAAAATTGTGTTTAAATTTAAACTTAAAAATGTATTATCATATACTATTATAGTTTGTTAACATTTTGAAATAGATTTCATTTTTTATAATTTCTGTTTTCACTTTCATTTTTTATCTTGTATGTTTTTATTAGTTTTTCTTTAAATGTCTGTAATTTTTTTTAAATTAAGTATTAGTTATTTTATTACTGTTAACTAAAGGAAAATGAGAAATGTTGCCTTGGCAGCTAGCTGGAATATAAAACACAATATTTTTCTTTCAAATTTCTCATTTTGATTTAAAGTTGAAGAACTAAAATAACTTGAATTAAGTCTACTAAAACCATAAAATATGGTTTTAGTTAACTCTGGCTCAGTGATGTATAAAATGATTATGACATAAGCTGAATAGGAAAATGTTGGCCAATAATTGACTGCCCCGAACAAATTCTGGTCAAGTGAAACCATATTGAATACAGTTTTCCTTTATCTTGCGTAGTTGTGTTCATGGTTTTTGAGACGTGAATTTGTATCCAACTACAGAGATTGTTTGAACAAGCATCTTTTGACGTCAATGAAAAACAATATGGGAAGTGTTTTCTCTTCCCTTTTAAAAGTTAATAAGCCCATTTATTTTACTAGCCTGACTATGCATGATCATATGGGTAGTTGCTTTTTATTGTTGTGTTGTTATAAATAGAACAGACCTGAGCCCCATTTTTGAGTCGAGAACCGCTGGTGTAGGACTTTTGAAGTTCCAGTGCTGTAAAAACGCCAACTTACAGATACATAGTCGTGTAGTGAAACTGCTGACTGTTTGATTTTCAGTCTGATGATTCATGCAGAGTTTTCCAACAGTCAGCATTTTCGAGAGAATTCATATAACATGAGACTCCATGAGGGATGTGGTTGTGTGTTTGGTGGCCTGTCGTTCAAATCCAAGTTACTTGCACCACTGATGCAAACTCAGTTCTTCAGTACTGTTTCTTCTGTGACTTCTGAAGCTACTTTAATTTAGGCTGTCAGTCTGAATATCAGTATTTTGTAAGAATGCATCATCTCAAATGTGTGTGTGTTGTTACAGCATGCTAACGAGGATGTGGAGAGGATGCTGCTAGGCAACAAGTGTGACATGGAGGACAAACGTGTCGTACCAAAAGCCAAGGGGGAACAGGTAAGAGACTGTGGATGGATTATGAATTAGGATTAGGACTGGGTTAAAAAAAAATATCGATTTTATTTGATTCTCATTTTGATGAACCTATATGTATTTTTAAGTCCCTAGAATCGATCTGTGTTGTTTAGTTGATGCGTGATCAAAATGTAATGAAGCATTATTTGTAGCACAACTCCCATTCAATAAATTGCAATAAGCTTTGTGCTTTGTTACTTACACTGTGAAGCAATGTGTCAGCTTTTAAAATATGTCAGTTGTATTATAAATACCGTTTTGATGTTTAATTCTTTAATGTTGTGCGACAGACCTCTGTATAAACGTGGCATGTGAACCTATCTCTTCCGCTTTACTACTAGTTACTGCACCAAATATACATGAATAAAAATCAGAAGGTGTTGAAACAAACTATCAGTGTTTCAACCATGGAAAGATGTTAGTGAAACAGCTTGTAAACAATGTTATAACGATGCATTTACCTCAGAAAAGCCATTCAGTGACCATAAACTCAATATTAAGTTTTGCTTTTACTTAACCTATTCAGTAATATTTAATGTATGTTTGAATAAATCCGTCAAACAAGTTGACATCCACTGTTTAAATGTGTAACATAGTTATATCATTCTAAATTTATTATAAAAACTGCCTTAGGTGCAGTTTAAATGTTTGTTTACAGGTCACTTCAACATACAGTAGTAATGTACCAACTGACAGCGTTTATTGTATAGTTTACAGTGTAATATAAGACGTTTTTACTTGAAAAAAAATTTGACATGCACTGTCCCTGATTGCCTATACCAGGGGTGGCGAACTCCGGTCCTGGAGAGCCGAAGCCCTGCAGATTTCAGCTCCAACCCTAATTAAAGCTCACCTGCCTGTAGCTTCCTAATAACCTTTCAGATTCTGATTAGCTTGTTCAGGTGTGTTTGATTAGGGTTGAAGCAAAACTCTGCAGGGCTGCGGCTCTCCAGGACCGGAGTTCGCCACCCCTGGCCTATACATTTAAATTATTTGAGATTGAAATTGAAAATGAAATCACAAGCTTGTGAATCAAATTGTGAAATTTGTCTCAATACCCAGCCCTAGTCAGAATGGGTAATTTGTCCACTAGTTGAGACATTTGTTAACAAGTTTTTTTTCAATGTTCTATGAGTCAATTTATTTGCTCTATTGAAGCACTTTGCTAAGTGTTCATATCTCTAATCATCCTCGAATGGGTCCATACATATTAGTTCAGGCCTGCAAACACAAGGAATGTTGACTGTACTTGTGCCGATCCTCAGATCGCAAGAGAACACGGGATTCGCTTCTTCGAGACGAGTGCAAAAGCCAACATCAGCATCGAGAAGGCGTTCCTCACATTAGCAGAAGACATTCTCAGAAAGGTGAGTTCGGGAATGACTGACTGATGACACCATTGTTATTGTGCTAATGCTTTTAAGCAAAAACATTGCAGTGCAAAAGAGCGGCGATTTCATGTCATTTGACTTATAAATGCACAGTCACAGCAGCTGATCTCACTGGTATATTAAATGCTTGGTTTGTTGATTTTGGTGTTTACTTGTCTATATAATACTCCATTTCTAATAGTGGCACGGAGCATTTTATGCCCTCATATCTTGAATTTTGAGGGCATCTTTAATTAGGTTTGGTGTCATTTTTTTCCCCCATAGCCCCATTAATCTGTTTCCATTCACATCTTAATATGTAGAGACAAGTATAAGTAAATCATTCATAGGTGGATTCTCCTAGACGTCTAGGGGTGTGTGATATTGACAAAAATGATATCTTGGAATATATATTGTGATTTTTTTTTTTTTCTTTTCAATAATGAATATTTTCTGAGTGTGTTCTTATGCTGGCACTTTGGTGCTTTAGGTCTGTCACGGATAAATAAATATGACACTACAACCGCCAGTAGGTGGCAGCAAGTCCCTTCATTCAAACGATTCACAATGGCTGATTCATTTAGAAAGAGTCAGATGACCGTCCTTATCAGTGGATCATTGAATCACTGACTCAAATGATTCATTCCAAAAACCGATTCATTCAGAAACGAAACACTGCAGTGTTGCTACGAGATACACAAGTGTTCTGCTTTGGCTTTGTTTAGAACTATTTTTCATTGACAATATAGAAAATATTGTGCCTAAAATGTCACTCACTCAATATTAATATTGTTGTTCTGTATCGAATATCTCAATTGCAATTGCGCTCCCAATGTATATTTTTGAAAACATCACTGTTGCTTGTGTGATATTACTTAACTATATAAATATAAAAACAAAAACCCATACAGGGATATTTTAGCTTTCTATATCTGGAATTATAGAGGTATTCAATTACACTTTATTTTAAGGTGTCCTTGTCACAGTGTAATATTAATTAAAGGGTTAGTTCACCCAAAAATGAAAATTCTGCCATTAATTACTCACCCTCGTGTTGTTTGAAACCCATAAGACCTTCGTTCATCTTCGGCTCTCTGATCCTCCCATAGACAGCAAGGTAACTACCACGTTCAAGGTCCAGAAAAGTACCAAGATGAAGACGAAGCTACCAGAATACTTTTTTGCGCAAAGAAAACAAAAATAACTACTTTATTCCATATTTTCGTTTCTGCTGCGTCACTTGTGGAAGCGCGTTCACGACAGTATCATGACGCGAGCGTGTGGCGGCGCCGACCCAGATCCGGCGTAATGACGTCATCACCACACACTCGCGTCATGATACTCAAAATACGCGTCGTGAACGTGCATCCACAAGTGACACAGTAGAGACGAAAATGTGGAATAAGGTCGTTATTTTTGTTTTCTTTGCGCAAAAAAGTATTCTCGTAGCTTCATAACATTACAGTTGAACCACTGATGTCACACGGACTACTTTGTCGATAATCTTGGTACTTTTCTGGACCTTGAACGTGGTAGTTACCTTGCTGTCTATGGGAGGGGCAGAGAACCCTCAGATTTCAGTGTTCCGAAGATGAACGAAGGTCTTACGGGTTTGGAACAACACGAGAGTGAGTAATTAATGACAGAATTTTGGTGAACTAACCCTTTTACTACATGTACTTACTATAGGGTTAGGGATAGGATGAGGGTTTGGTTTAGGGTTAATTGCATGTAATTATGCCTAATTTATTGTTATTATAACAGTAAGTACATGTAACATGTGTAACAAGGTCATCTTAAAATAAAGTGTTAGCAGGCATTCTAATAGGCTTCATCAAGAGATGCAAAGTGAGTGGCATACTCGATAATGTCAGATCACATATTGTTAAAACAACAATTCCGATATTATCGCACACCCCTAATGAACACTGTGGCTCAGTTTGTTTAAGCATCCTGATCAGCCGGACAGCAGCAGTGACTTGGACACCAGAAAGCGATCAAAACAAACCCGGGTTCACTCCAAAACCCAAAATGTGATGTTTGCCCATCCGAAATGTTTGTTAATATCTATTTTGTGGTGTTGTTGTTGTTTTTTTCCGCAGACGCCCGTAAAGGAGCCCAACAGTGAAAACGTGGACATCAGCACTGGAGGCGGAGTCACAGGATGGAAGACCAAGTGCTGCAGTTGAACAGACACACACAGTTGCTCACACACACACACACACACAATCTGTTCTTCTCTCTCTCTCTCTCTCTCTCTCTCTCTCTCTCATTCACTCATCCCTCATTTCTGTCTAACACTCTTCCGTTCTGTTCTTCTCATGGGATTCTCCATAAAACACATCTCTAATGTTTCTCACACTCACGACTGCTTGCTGACATCATTTTTATTTCTGGAAAAAAAAAAATGTAAAGAGAAAGTCATTTGATGTTTCTTCTTACTTATTTGAAAGAAAGAAAGAAATGAATTTAAACAAAAAGCGCATTCACCACTACATAGAGACCGTCAGTGGACCTGGAGATGCTGTCCGTCGGCGCAGAGGAGTGGCGGAGCGTTTTAGACAAGACTTTGTCCAGTGTTTTGGGGTTAGTGTTGTGTGTTAGTGTGAGAGATCTTCTCTAGCTGGGTTTTTTTTGTTCTTTGATTTGATTTCCTTCGTCCGGTGCCTTAATGTAGAGCCTTAGAGCCCCCCCCCCCCGCCGCCCCAAACACACATTTAAACATCACTTTTCAGTAACAGTTACGCACACACACACACACTGGTCCTCTCCTCTCTGCTTGACCCACTAACTCAACCCAACACGCCCGAGTGGAACCATCCGGATTCAACCTGTGTGCTCAGAAGAGAATGGCATTATATATTTGTTTTGTTTTTAAATTGAGTTTTGTTTTTTTCAGAATGTCTTGTTTTATGAATCTCCTCTGTTTTTTTTTTGGTTTTCCTTCACTCAGTTACTCATTCTCTCCTGCATGCTGGTTTCTTTGGGTTTTTTGGGGTCTTTTGTAAGTTTTGCCATGTTTGTAATTCACATGAAGTATATCTTCTAGTCCAGACACGTGTCAGGGAGGGGAGCGTTCTCTTTGGAAATTCAAACGATTTTGCAGATCCATTAAAAATAAGCTTGTGTAAGTTACATGTTGGTCTTGGTTATTGAAGCATGGACTGTGTGTGTGTGTGTGTGTGTGTGTGTGTGTGTTAAAAAGTCTTAATTCACTCTTCCACAAATTAAGTCCTTAAAATGTCTTGGGTAAGAGCAGAAAGTCTTAAATTCATGAAAGTCATGGCATTAAAGGTTGCATGCATTGTGCAAAAAAAAAAGTTTTAGAATTTTTTTTTTCTGATTCAAATATCTAATCATCCTTAAATCAAGATACATTTACTTGAGATGCAAAATAAAGAAGTCTTGTTTTCTGACAAACTGAACAAAATTAAGTGAGTTTAAGCTTAAAACAAGAACAGATATTTCCATGGAGAATTAAAACTTTTCACTTTTGAATGAAGTTTTTCTGAGCCCATTAGATGATATTAGATGATATTTGTTGTTTTAATCACAAACTCGCTTCAGTTCCTCGGAAAACAAGACTTATTTAATGTAACTACTTATCAGATAAATGTATTTTGATTTAAGAATCTTTAGACATTTGCACCAAAACGAGACAAAAATACTGATGCAGAACACTTTTTTTTTTTTTTTTTTTTTTTTTTTTTGTATACAGCTGACAGCAGCCTTCAGCATCGACTACAAATGAATTTCCATTGATTAATAACAGCACTGGAATTATGACAGGTGATGATACTGAGTAAAGTCAACCATCATAAAACATTTTCATTAAAGATTTGAAAAGAGAGACGGCAAGAATAAAACATTTGATGAAGCCAATTCCGTTTATTGTCTGGAATAGAGACATAAATAAAGACATGAGAGATGTGTTATATTACCTTCCGAACTGTTTGTGACTTTAATAGATTATTGCAGAATATGACATATGAAGATACTTATAGAGGCCATAAAAACATTCGATGGGGTACAAATCAACATTTTACTCCAGCACTTTTAATTAAATTACTGACAATTATTTTATTACAAAACAATTCAAGCATTATCTAAAATAAGCAAGACATTTCGTTTAACAGATGCTTCAGTAGGCTACGTCACATTTGGAACCTTTGCGGCAAACTTCAAACAGTAAAACTATTATGACGAACAGAACCATTCAAACAGTTGACTAACAAACATTCTGAAAATGGTTTGGGCCAACGGGTTGTAATCATTAAATTGTATAAAAATACTACAAGAGAAACACGTGACAACCTGCCCGATATAAATGTGATAATTTCTCCCAACCTTACATTGATGAAAAATAGCCTACTCTTGTCCTGAGAATTCAATCTTTCAGTTAAAAGCCAGCTTCATTGAATAGTTGACTCTTAAAGCATGTCAGGGTAGTTTTATTGTGTTCCCTTGTTCACCCAACAGAAATATTAATAATAAAGTTTACTGGAAGTTTAGTCTGGAGGACAGAATTCACAAACATTACTGTAAGTTAAACTAGACTTAAAACCTTATTGTTTCGCTGTGACAACTAATAGCCTCGGTCCCCCTTTAAATCTGTCAAAGTAGTTTAGGTATGATGTTAAAAACCACAAAAAGCTACTAAACTACATATTGTAGTTATCACTGTTTAGAATGAAACCATGAGGGGCTCTGAGAACTCATGATTAGGTCAGGTAGTTATAAAACATGTATAAGCTGCCAGCCATCTATTTTTGTGAGCTCATCTAAAGTGAGGACTGTTTATACCTATATATTCATATCTATATATAAGGAGATTTAAAAGCTCATCAATCTTCCAAACAGAAAAGTTAATCATACACAACACAGAGGGATACAGAACACAAAAATATTTTTTCAAGATTAAAAAAATGAAACTGTACCACTGTTCACTTGATAAAAAAAGAAAGAAAAAAAATCTGCCATTTCATTAAAAAAATCAAGTGTACAGTTTCTTTTTTTTTTTTGCATCTTGAAATAAATATTCTGAGTTATGTATCCCTCTGTGTTGTGTTTGTTTATTTTTTCTGTTAGGAAGTATGTTTATGTTTAAATAATCAGTAGCTTTATTACATTAACGATAAAAAAATTATATCGAGCTTCAAGAATTTAGCGCTGTAAAACATAAGGCCTAGCTATCGTTCATAAACACAAGGACTATAAATAATCACCTTTTTAAAACGACTATGAATGTAAACCCCTAAAATATTGCCTCAATTAAAAAAATAAATAGTCATAATATAACAGAACGCTAATTGCCAAGACAGCAAAAAGAAAAAAAAAGTTTTTCTGTAAGCTTCGATATTAGATCTCTGCCATTCAATGTTTATTTAATTTTTATATACTCTTTCATCTCTTTTTTTCTATATACAGCCTTCATATGTGTTGGCTTTTTATTATTATTATTTATTACATTTTTTTTGGTAAAATTGTTTCATAAAAACGAATAAATCTTAATTATGTGATCACTGGTTTGACACAAACCATGCAGGATTTGTGCATTTATCAACTTGAAACGACTCTGACAGACACTTCAAATTGCTGCACTGCCTGATTATAACCAGGAGATGGAGCAATATATTTTCCTCCCACATTTTCCTGCAATGATGACTGCTGCTAATATTCATATTGATTAGCTACTGTGCACTCAAAAGAAACAGGTCTGAGTTTTTATTTCCCTTGAAACACATTACATAAAAAAATACAAATCACAAACATCTCTAACAAATATATGTCAATGAACACAAGCCTATTAGATTCATAAAATAAATGATACCGACCTAGAACGCTACTCTAGTAAGCCAAGCAATAAACACTATTTGTTTTGTTTTTTGAAACAACAGTAAAGTTTCATGTGGAATCTGCGCATGGCAACTAGCGACCCTCGCGCGCTCTCTATGGAGGATGCGGCGAGCTGAGATGCTTAACGGAGCCGGGAGAACTCCGCCGTCACCCGCCGCCGCTGCACAATTCCGCCTGCAGATATCAACACAGCTGCGGAATACACACATGCACACCCGTGTTCCTGACGCCCCGGTAATGGCGGATGAAAGGTAAGATTGCGCATGTCGGCAGATGATGAATCTGCAAGACTGTAAAATCAATAGGTGACTGATCATGATGTCTTTATATATTCAAATTCACAAACAATCAATTTCATTCTTATTATCGGAATCTCGGATTTATAGTAGCCTAGGGTGTCACTGAAACACTTACGTGATCGCATCAGGCCAGAAGAGAACCCCATGGAAGGCCTAATGGCCAATTTCAGGAAAAATAAACAAATAAAAATAAATAAAAACCAAGGCAGTGTCACTACATTGGCAAGGTTTTAGTCATTTCTTCCCATGTTAACTTCACATTTCTACAAACTTTTATTTTGAACTGCCCACTTGACCGTGCCTTTTACGTACATTTTACTATGCAAAATTATATAGGCCCTAATTCTGCCTTTGAAAACATCTCAATTATACGTCAGCATCACCTGTAGCTGAGGCTCATCTAATCCAAAAACTGCTGCAGAATATGGCAAGCCGCTTTAGCTTAAAATACTCCCAGCGTTCACACGTCGTAATTGCATTTTACTAGTTACAATTCAGTTAGAGAACTCTATAATTAAATTCTTACTAGCAACAATGCCAGAGAGCTCGCTAATGCAATTCTTACTAGTAACAATTATAATTAGAGAACTCTGTAATTCAATTCTTACTGGCAGCAATTCCAATTAGAGAGCTCTACAAATTAATTTTTATTAGTCATATGTCTCCATTGACTTACATTCATTTTACTAGGAAGAATTCCAATTAGAGAGCTCTACAATTTAATTCTTACTAGGAAGAATTCCAATTAGAGAGCTCTGCAATTTTAATTCTTACTAGTAAGAATTCCAGTTAGAGTGCTCTACAATTTAATTCTTACTAGTAAGAATTCCAATTAGAGAGCAAATTCCAATTAGAGAGCTCTACAAATTAATTTTTATTAGTCATATGTCTCCATTGACTTACATTCATTTTAATTACAGAGCTCTACAACTGAATTTTTACTAGGAAGAATTCCAATTAGAGAGCTCTACAATTTAATTCTTACTAGGAAGAATTCCAATTAGAGAGCTCTGCAATTTTAATTCTTACTAGTAAGAATTCCAGTTAGACTGCTCTACAATTTAATTCTTACTAGTAAGAATTCCAATTAGAGAGCAATTCTTACTGGCAGCAATTCCAATTAGAGAGCTCTACAAATTAATTTTTATTAGTCATATGTATCCATTGACTTACATTCATTTTACTAGGAAGAATTCCAATTAGAGAGCTCTACAATTTAATTCTTACTAGGAAGAATTCCAATTAGAGAGCTCTGCAATTTTAATTCTTACTAGTAAGAATTCCAGTTAGACTGCTCTACAATTTAATTCTTACTAGTAAGAATTCCAATTAGAGAGCTCTCTAAATCAATTTTTACTAGTAATAATTCCAATTTAGAGAGCTCTCCAATTAAATTCTTACTATCAACAATGCCAATTAGAGAGCGCTCTAATGCAATTCTTACTAGTAGTGATGCACGATAATGGATTTTTGCCGATATTCGATATGCTGATATTTTTCAATTTATTTTGGCCGATACCGATAAAAATATATTTCCTTTTGTTTGGAAACAACACCAAGTCTCTCCTGTGCAGAAATAAGCTAAATATTTTACATTTTGGTTCGTTTTTAACAAGAACTTATTTGTTAGAATTAAATAAACAATAATGAAGGTTTTTGACAGTACATTGAAGCTTTGAAAATAACTATAAATAAACTATATATCAGTCGCTGCATTTTCCCCCAGAAAGATGCTGTGTTAACCCTAACATTTTATTTTAAGATTTAACATTTGTAAATGGTCTAAAGCAAAATTCTGAAAATATTTTAGAGCTTATGATTTGTTTAAAAAAAATAAAACAAAACATATTATACATTAATGAATAAATCAGTATATATAAAATTATTTAATTTACAAGTGTCATGTTTGTGATTTTTTTCATGTAAGCTATTGCTTCTGACCTTTAAATCAAAACATACTCATTATTTTATGACATCAAT